TATATATATATATATATATATATATAATATATATATATATATATATATATATATATATATATATATATATATATATATATATATATATATATATATATATATATATATATATATATATATATTATATATATATATTATATATATATATATATATATATATATATATATATATATATATATATATATATATATATATATATATATATATATATATATATATATATATATATATATATATATATATATATATATATATATATATATATATATATAGCTAGATATATTATACACAAGCTCAAAAGACAAGCAAACGCAGAAAACATCTACTTTTAATGTTTAACAAAAATAATGTAATTAAAAGTAACATATAACAACTTCGGCGTTTTATTGTTCGTTTTTTTTTGTTTAAATACTTGATTCTTAAATTGACTATAAAAATTTGAGTAAAAGATGTGCATTTTTTGCTTGTGGGTCTTTATTATTTTATATTTTTTGTTGAAATATTTAAAGAATACCTAAATACTGCGATGATAAAACACATTTTTGAAACAAAGAATAGGCAAACTAAAATAAAATATTGGCAAATTAATCCAATGAAATAAAAAGCATCATTTTTTAAAATAAAATTATTTAATAATAAAATAAAAACAATTCAAAAACTTTTCAAAATCTTTGAAACCTTATAACAAAAAAGTTCTTCAAACTCCAAGCATAAATAAATAAATAAAGCTTCAAGCATAAATAAAAATGAAAAATAAATAAATCCAAATAAATAAATCTCTAGCATATATAAAATTATAGACAAAATAAGTATAAATATAAAGAAGAGGGAAGAAGAAGAAGAACTCTTTAAACTAATACTACTCTTAATACTAGTACTACTTTTTAATCTAATGCTACATTTTAAGCTAATACTACTCTTTAAGCTAAGGGGCCATCCATAAAGTACGTACGCAGGAATGGGGGGAGGGGGTTACCCAAAAGCGTACGAACGCTTAGCGTACAAGGGGGGGGGGGGGAAGGAGTGTTAAAGACAGTGAATACGTACGTGGTTTAACTATCTCTCCTAAACTTGATTTTACTTTTTATTTTAACTAAAACATTTAATTTCACGTGTGTAACAAATCAGTATTGTATTTTTTTTGCTGACGTTAGTCAAAAAAAAAATTTAATTTCTTTTATAAATGATAAGAAGAAAAAAAAAGAAATCGAGCGACAAATAATATTGTTTATTATTTGCAACGTAATTTGATTTGGTAACGAGATGAGAAGCAAAAAGATGTCAAATAAAAACAAACTTTTTTTGAATTATTATTTTTTAATTATCCTACGCAAACTGCTTTTTATCAATTCTCTTAAAATGTTAAAATATGTTGAAACATTTTAAGATTTAAATAAGTAAATTAAGTAACATTTTAAATTTGATACAGAGAAATGTCAAATAAACTAAAATTTTTTTTTGTTTTCAATGTTTTGAAATATTTACGCATTGAGGAAAGGGAAGGAGGGGGTGAGGGCTTTATTTTGAAAAATAATAATGCGAGTACGCGGAGGAGGGGCGGGGGCTTTGATAGCGTATTGGTTTGTACAAGGGGGAGGGAGTCCTAAAGCAGTGTTTTTATTGCGTACGTACTTTATGGATGCCCCCTAATACTACTATTTAACCTAAATTTCTAGCTTATTTATCATAAACTAGCTACAACTAGTAAAATCAAACAATTACTTGTAACAACTAGTAAAATCAAACAATTACTTATTTGTAGTACAAGTAAGATGATTATTTGATTTTAAATCTAGTATAAAACTTTATGACACTCACAACTGAAAATGTAACTCAAACACATACATATAGATACAAAAATAAAAAAAAGAATAACACCATAATACTATTATGATATGACTCATGTCTTAATCAAAATATTACAATTACTATGAATGGATGTATAAATATTTATTATTTGAGTTCGTATTGTATATTGCTTTGTATTTTATATTGCTAGTATGTATAATTTTTTAGGTTTATTTTGCTTTTTATTTAGTATTTAAAAAAACAAAAAAAAATTGTATTACGGTTTTTATAACCCGGCTTTGTAGAAATAAAAAAAGAAAAAAACAGTATAAAGTATGTGTATACATATATGCTTAGATATACATGTGTATATGCATGTATATGTGTTTTGTATGTATATATGTATGTGTTTGTATGTGTATATATATATATATATATATATATATATATATATATATATATATATATATATATATATATATATATATATATATATATATATATATATATATATATATATATATATATATATAAATATATAAATGTGTGTGTATCTGCGTATGTATATATTTATGTAAGTATGCTTGTATATATATGGGTGAGTATGCGCTGTTAGTATGTTGTCTGTATGCGCCGGTATGGGTTTGTATGTGCTGGTAGTCTATGTATATTCATCAGAAGCTTACTTTCTAAAATAATTGAATAACTCTAATTTTAGCTATTTATCGCATAAAAATCGCATTAAAATGTATTCTTTTCAAAAATTGGGTTGTGATATTTTAAATAGCCAAGATATAAATAACCATGCTCACAATAAAAAAAAAAAAAAACTCTGTTTGGGAAAGTTATTACATAATTAATTATAATAATTTCCAACTTCCTGTGAAATAATTTTTCTATAATTTGAATTTTTTGATGTTTAGACATTCTTCCTGATGATCCTACTGATGGAGCAACAAGCTGTAGAAGAAAATAAAAATTAGATAAGTGTTTTTACTATTTTTATGTATATATCTATACATATATATATATATATATATATATATATATATATATATATATATATATATATATATATATATTATATATATATATATATATATATATATATATATATATATATATATATATATATATATATATAGAGTTTATAATGCATTTAAAAGAAAATAAATATACATTATATATTTCATGTACTAATTTTTATTTTATTCTGATTCACTCCCAACAAGGCTGCAAGGCTGCTCATATTTTGAGAGTTACTGGAAAAAAATAATAGAGTTATAAAGTAAGGAAATAGTTGACTTAAAAAAGTTAAAGGTTGTATGAGTCAGGAAAACATGAAGATGAGAGAGAGTTCTAAAGGGTTGAAGTGCCGGGATAAAAACTAGACTAATAAAAGTTTTTAGAGCATGCAGGGACAGATACAGTAAAAGAATGAGACTTGGATAAATATCGATTAAAGCGAGAATGATTTTTAGTTGATGGAACTAGAGATGATAGCTCCTTTGAGCAGTGATGTACTGCATCAAAATAAAACATATTTGCCTAATTACTGATTACAAGTAATACTAGTAATTACGCAAATATGTTTTATTTTGCATTAAAATAAAGCATACTAGTAGTATGTTTTATTTTAATGCAGTACATCAATGCTGAAAGGAGCTATCATCTCTAGTTCCATATAAAACTAATTAAATTAGTTATGACAATATTAATATTATTGTTGTTGTAATTAATAGCAGTAAATATGATTATTAAATAATAATAATAACTAAATTCAGGATAATAATAACACTTTAACGAATAAGAACTATGGTGACAGTATTTCTAAAAGTAATTTTAATTATACTAAATAAAACCTCTTCTTCTCTAAAAAGTACTTTCCTAATTTGTCTTACTTAAAAAAGCAGGCAAGGACCCCTCTTTTTTTACAAAATTTGCAATTATAGCTGCCCCAGCCCAATTGCTTAAATAAATCGTACTATCCAAGTATATCTTTAAAATTTTTAAGCGATGGTGGTAGTCTAATGAGGCAGTTAACAGAGAATTACAGTTTTTTTACTACAGCATTTGTAAAAAAGTTACGTCTTTTATCATGTTTCAATAAAATTTTGGCTTCTAATTCAAATATTTCGGCTTGTTTTAAGACTTGTTTGAAGACTTTACTTAGATCCTCAATAAACTGGTGCGATTTATGACGTTACAAAATTGATTCAATCAATTCTATTAATTATTTAGTACTAATTGTATAAGTTCGATTAGTAGTACTAAGGATTAGTAGTACTTAGTACTAAGGATTAGTAGTAGTTAGTATTAGTACTAAGTGATTAATACTTAGTATTAGTAGTTAATATTAAGTATTAGATTAATTTATTTAGATTAAGATTAGATAATTACTAAGTATTAGTACTAAGGATTAGTAGTACTTAGTATTAATTGTATAAGTTCGATTAGTAGTACTAGTATTAGTAGTACTAATTGTATAAGTTTGACCTTATACAGCGTAGTCGCTACGTTGTATAAGGTCACTACGCACACGGCGAGTTTGAAGGGTAATTGTGTTAAGGGTGAAAATGAAGGGTAGTTTAAATTCAGTCGTGTTAGACGTTTCTCGCATATTAGATGATTAGTGACTTAACCCATTTTGTGGTTCGATGCTGAATTCTTTTAATTGTATTTATATATCCCTCTGCAATGATAAGTCTGGACAAGTATAGTCACCAACATGTTACGGCGTAATATATATAGTATATACTACGCCGTAAACTCCAAATAGAGAGTTCAAAATGGATTGTATTTTCTGTTGTACATTTTGACATTTTATCCTTAGTTAATATTAAATTTTAACTTCTATAAACTTATATTTGATCTATTTTTATATAATCGCAATTACTGTGTATACTGTGCAACTAATTGCTTTTTAATTCTAAGTTTGTAATTTTTTTTTTACATGGGTCAAGGCGATAAGTAACGCTTGCTAGTTCTATATTGTATAAACCTATAGTATTTATAGAACGATTTATACAAATGAAGTAGTAATGGTTAAAAGGTACTCAGGCATCCAATTTTGCCATCCCTAATGCAAATCAACTTTTGGCTAGAGTAATTTTTAAATTTTTAAAATAAAATATCTCTTTATAAACTCATTTAAATTTAAAGAAATATATTAACATTTAAATACGCGCAGCTGCAGAAAAAACACAAGAAAAATGTGTAATAATTATATTCTGATTAGCAAAACTTTTTTTAAATACCGTTTTCATCATCACCTCGGATAATCTTGAATCACCTCGGATAATCTAGACTATCTTCACCAACTCAAAACAGAGGAAAAACTTACATAATACCGTGGTACCGATTTTATTAGCTTTGGTATTTCAACATACTATAACATAAAAATTTAATTTGCACACACATTTTAAATCCTTTAAAATAGATGTAAGAAAATAAAATAATTTTTTTTTTTTTAACTTTACCTATCGATACCTTATATATTTTACAATATCTATTGGAAATTGTTCCTTTACGTTTATTTACCGTAAGATGCTTAAACCCTAAGCACCTTAAAGAAAACAAACGTAAAGGAACAATAATCGATGGGTATTGTAAAATATATAAGGTATCGATAGGTAAAGCAAAAAAAATGATTTATTCTTATTTCATACAGGGGGTTTTAGGGAAATAAAAGGAAGAGGGGATTTTATTCCAGATCTAATAAACGGGGAGTAGACAGGCGTAATAAAAGGGTAGATAGGAAAAATTTTTATTTTTTATTAGGTATTAATATATATTTTTAAATTTTTTTAAAGTTTTGAGATGTAACATTTTTGTTGTTAACAAGTAAATCAATAAACAGGGGTGGGAGTCTTAATACGCTTAGGATAGGTGGCAATATTTTCAAAAATTAATAAATACCCCTCCTTAAATAAAATACCTTAGTTAGCTGCATGAACTACAATGCCAATGTAAAAAGTTGTCGAAATTCTTTGGAATGGAAAGGCATAAAACATAAAACCACTCCTTGCAATTGTCGCATTCAACCATTTTTTCTTATTATTATCAGGAAGACGACATATGCAATATAGTGGTAAATTAATTGGTTTAGGTTGCTTTTTCCTTTTTTGTTCATTAATCTCTACAGGAAATGGCGTTAAGTAACTGTCACTGAAGCATTTTAACAAATTATCCCGCATAAGTTCTTGCTTATAACATTTTATGCTTGGATCATGATTGTAACATAAATCTGTTGCCGCTGCAATTACAAAAAGGCCACAATCAAGCCTACCAGATTGTTTTTGGAAATCTTTGGACTTTATTTTCAAAATAGAAATTGTATCTACTTCTTTCCACTAACACTTAAATCATAGTATAAGAAATGAAAAACATCAACTGAGCTAAGATGGGTACTTAAAAAATTTGAAATGGTAAGCCAATGCATTGCACCATTATGTAAAATTTGAACAAACTTTCAAGATTGCACTCTAAAATGAAGTTTTGATCCAAGAATAGGGTCTTGTAATCCTTGTACATCTGGAAAATGAAAGGCTCACAGAAGGACATCAGTTCTTCGACCAATAAAGCCTTGATTGATTTTTCACAATTGCGTTCTAGTTCAATTTTTTTATTTATGTTGAATAAATCTTTCGATGTTACTATTTTTATTCATTTATTTTTCAAATATTCTTTTAAAAAACAGGCTTTAACACCAAGTTTAAACATTTTGCCAAAATCTTCCTTTACTATTTCACTTAACCGGCGTTGTTCAGAGTAATGCATGAAAGCAGTTCTATGAAGGCATAAATATAAATACAAATTAAATAAAATTAAAAAATAAAAATTACAATAAAAAAATACAAATTAACTCAAAAAAGTAAAAAAAGTACAATTTTTTACAAAATAAACTAATAATAAAATACAGTTGTTCTAACCTGCTGACTTCGTGGTTATGCCTGAAGTTGCTGTACTACTTGTTTTGTTTTATCTTTATTAATAGTAATATAAAGTTTGGCACTACATCCAATTTTGAAAAAGCTAAAAAAAAGTAGTAAAAATCTTCACTTTCTGAAAATTATTGAATTCTATCAGAGGGTAGTAAACATTATAATGTAGTGAACATTATAATGTTCACTACCCACTGAGAAGCACATGTTGTAGTTGATATGAGATCTTATTCAAGCTCGAATGCCAGCCTCTACAAGCCAGCCAAAAACAAGCAAAAAATGATTAAAGTAAAATTTAGCATACAAAAATAAAATTTTAGATTTCTTTTCTTTTATAAAATTTTTTTATATAAAAAGACATTAGATTAAAAAAACATTTAAAACCATTGATTTAGACGAAGTCCTTTCTTTTTTGTTTTCTCAACTCCTCCATGCTTGCATAAATATGTTACATTTCTAAATTTAAACTTCTCATCGAAACGTTTTGAATTCTGACTCAAGTCCTTGTTAGCCAATATAACAGTTTTGCTGTTGCATTTAGTCTACAAAATGTTCGTAAATGCCGATCAAGAAACCAATTTATTTTCAAATTCAGCAAAGTTATCAAACTTATCTTCTTGTTTAATTTCAATATTCATCACTAATTTCATAAGCTGAAACTAAAAACATGATTTAGGTTTATTATGCAATATTCATAGCAAAAATAAATTAAATAAATCAGTTTATTTCAAACAAGCTATCTGATTAAATCTTTTTGAATAGCACATGCGTATTATATTCATAGTTTATATATAACCGTGGTCGTGCGAATAAGCCAACTTTAAAGATGTACCCCAAATAAAAGCTTAAAAGCTAAATGTAACTATACTTGTTTTTGTGTTTACTACATTTGTTTTTATATTATTTATATATTTTTATACTTGTTTTTGTGTTTACTACATTTTGTGGATTCCACCGTTATTTGCACGACGATCGTGTGAATAGGCTTATTTTTTTGTTGTATTTAAATACCAATGTTCAATACCAAAAATACCAAAATAAATGTTCAAACGCTGGAATAAGTTTGCATAATATGCGCCGTTGATGGCTTTTCTTTTTTGAAGATAATCAAAGAATTATCCTACACGCATCCCGAAAAACTGACACCATAACTTTTGATGATGGTGATGTTGTTTTTGCCATTTTGGAGGCAATTATCTCCTTTCGTCCATTGTTTAGACTGCTCTATTGTCTTAAGAATGAAATGATGAACCCATGTTTCATCCATAGTTATAAATAGACTCAAAAACTCGGCCTTATTTTAGTGAAACATCGTCAAACAATTCATCGAAACATTCTTACGATAGTAAGACAGTGCCGGATAAAAGGAGGGGCGCTAAGGGGGTCATAGCCCCGGGCCCCGCAAATTAAGGGGCCCCCAAAAATTTTAGAGGACCTTTTTTTTTTTAGTTATTTTTAGGCTCTAACCCATAAAAAGGCCTCCGAAAACAAAAATAGCCCCGGACCCCAAGAAGTCTTAATCCACCACTGTAGTAAGAAACCGGGGTTGAAATTTGACCGGGATACATAAACATTTATACAGCCATTTATGCATAAACATTTATAAAACCATGAAAGGATATTGTATGCCAGCATCTAAATAAATAGCAAACAGAATGCATATATATTATTAATATTAACGTATCTAGATACGTTAATATCTATAATATGTATGCATTCTGGAAGCTTTAATTCCTTCTGGAATGAAAGTTTGGAAGTTTTTATTACTTCTATCCAATTTTATGTCAAACCTCATTATACTCCACATTTTCAACATTAATCATTTTTACAAGAACATCTCTCTTAAGAACAAGTGCCATTTTATTATTGCAAGAAGATAATGTAAAAAAGCCGTCTGATGTTAAGCTCTATTCTCAGTTTACTAAATCTTCTATCTTATCTCAGATGCTAGGTTCCAGAGACTTATGGTTAGTGTTCAACAGAGTCATTAACTAAGGTAAGTTTAACATTTGATCCCTAATTCATGGGTCTGATCTTTTTACTTCTATCCAGAATAAAGCAGAGTTATTTGCAAAGAAGTCTTACTCTAATTTGACTCTTGAATATAATGACCATACTCTATCTGACGGTTTTTAAGTCTTCATTTATACATTTCCTAGTATTTTAACTTATTCACTATTTTAAAGTAACTCATAACTTAATGCCAGGGCCGGGTTTGCAAAAATTCTAATTTTTAGCTAGGACCAGGGCCGGGGCCCTGGTCACTTACTACCTCACAATGTTGTTTATGGTCCATTGTCAGTAAACAATGCACCCATCGTGTGCACAGCTTTTTTATGTCAAAATTTTCAGTCAATATGCGATGTACAGCACTTTTTGATATACCCGCCATTTCAGCTAACTCGTGCACTTTCAATCAACGATCGTCCAGTATGATTTTGTGGATTTTCTTAACCATTTCTGGCGTGGTGACCCCATTTGGTCGACCACTGCGAGGATTATCTTGACATGTCATACAGCCCCTTTTAAACTCTGCAACGCAATATTTCGCAGTTACAAGTGAGGGAGCAAACTCCCCTAGAGTAGAATCTGGTTCACTTTTAATATCGGTTGGACTGAGACCTTTTAAATAAAAATATTGAATGACATAACGATGAATAATTTTCACCATATTAAAAATTTACTGAAAACGTTCACTATTAATGGTCGCTAATCTGAAAAAAATTAAATTTCACAGTAAAGCTCTTAAAGGTTAACGACTTACAGCCATGGTTAATTTTTTTTTTCAAAATTTTTGTGTTTTCTTTGTAAAGCTAGTTAGTTCTGGGACAACCCTCGTGTGCGTGTATATACATATATATATATATATATATATATATATATATATATATATATATATATATATATATATATATATATATATATATATATATATATATATACATATATATACATATATATGTTTGTTAATTTTATATAATAATTTGATGTGCAGTCAAGAACTTTTAATCAAACCTTAAAACTAAAAACTATTTTTTTGTAAATAAAATATTTATTTTCAACTTTATATAATGTAATCATATTAATCGTAAAGCTGTCATTAATACAAATGTTCATTTTGATTCAGCCAATCATCACTCTTTTTCTGCCTCTACTTCTAACATCATTAAGTTTACTTA